CTGCGCCATAGCAGTGAACCGCATCGGAATCCTGCGGCACTGATGGATCAGATTATAGCGGGGGGGATGAGCTTACGGAGGAATCTTGCCAGCCATTGGTCCCGATAGGGTTCTAGTCTGGAGTGTCCCTTCCTGCACACACGTGCACGGAGGCCCGTACGCTTCGGAAGCGTGGGTAGAATTGAGGAAGCGTCGCTTATTCAATTCTAGCGAACAGCGAGGACGCAGGTTCGATCCCGGGGCGGAACACTTCTCTGTCATTTTCTCAAACGAAATAAACACCCATCTAAGGGATCATTGGGTTAGCAATCATCACCATTCTTAGTGTGGATGGACGCGAAATGCCGATGGATCGGCACTTGTCATTTTCGACTATCCTGCCATGAACATCTGCGGAATTATATCAGACCCGAACTCGATGAGATGCCACTCGTTTATCACTCGACAAGTAACGTCATCACGCGGACTACGTTCCTATAGACCAATTCTGTGATCAACTCCTTGAATTCGCTCTCCCCATGCTTCGTCAATAAAGATTCGTAACCACATCCACATAGGTTCATATCAACGACGAGATGAAGATGACAGTGATAAGTTGTTGTTGGTCATCAATAATGTCTCCTACTACTTGGAGCTCATAGCTCTGTCTGCGGTTGATTGCTTCGTGGTTGAGGAAAACTACTATGTATCAGGCAGTATTGGAAGAGATGTTTGCCTGCCTAGTCTGAGCTCGGGCGTTTCCTCACTAATTATAGGAAACCATTCAAAAATTACGGTGGAAATTAATAAGAATCTACCAAGATTTCCTCAGAATTTTCATCGTGTAATTGACTGCGTGCATATTTTCGGACACTGGTACTATACTGGTGATGGTCGCTATCTTCACTGCTGTATTTCTCACTCTGTTGCTGATGGCCTTGACACCACATTCACAAGAAGAAAAGCCCTACAGTAAAGTGACGACGGCTGATGATGAGTGATGACAGTCTAACGTGTTTGAAGTGGACAGTCTCGGCTCTCTCGGCCCCTCTTCTGACCGTACCGATCTTCGCGCTGCTTCTGCTACCTTTTTCGTCTACGGAACCTCGACGAGTCTTGAGGTTGGTTTTTGAGACCCTTGGCTATTAGTTCATCATCGTGTTGATATTCTTTGTTGGGGCGTGTACTGTCACCACCGCTGTCACCGCCTGATTATAAGAGGGCTCAAGTGATCGTCATTCAGCTGATCGTTGTCGGCTAGTGCGAGTGCGCTTTAGATTTAGGGCAGTAAAGGGTTTGTATTGATGCTTTCCAGTAGGGCGACGATTGGAATATGAATGCCAAGTTGGCGGGTGTGGAATTTGCTCAGGAAGGTCGGCACTCTATGCTGGAGATATACTTGATGATTATGCGCTATGTTATCGGTTGGACGGGAATTGCGGCTGGTGTGGTAGGTGGAATAAAAAGATCTGCACCGAAGTAGACGTTAGCGAGACTTCTACAGAATTGGAAACATATTAGAAATCGGTCTTTCTAACTCAGTGTTTCTGTTGATAAGAAAGTGAGGCTGAAAGCGTAGTGGTACCAGTGAGGACTTGAAAGGACTTGCTGCTTATAGCAAATGTCCAACTTCGCGTGTTTAATCGTTAGAGCGGCCCTATGGGGTTTTTGGGGGTTTTATAGCGGTTATAAGTAGTTTCTCATGGTGATCTTAATTAGTGAAGTGAACGGCTGTTGCGTTTGAGTTTGTTTTTAATGGATGAAGGCGCGGTGCTATTTGGTTTCTGTTCTGGTCGCGATAGATGAAATTCAATTTCTTCGGCACGCGTACGACGAAACCGCAGCAGCAGGCCATGAGTAAAGAGCAAGCTCGGTAGTAGCAGTGGGGAGGTTGTAGGAGGTAGTGGAATTATGGTAGGGCATGGCAGCGCAGTTTGCGGTCGGAGATGAGGAAGATAGACAGGGAGTGTGGGAAGATGGAGAGGGAAGAGAAGAAGGTCGAGCTTGAGATAAAGGGCTTGGCGAGGAAGAAGGAGGTCTCCAGCATAAGGATATTGGCGAAGGAGGTAGTTGCTGGCGTGAAGTGTCGGAAGTGTGGTATGGGATTGTTAGATAGTACGGACGAGGAAGACGCGAGATAGGATGCTTATGGCTAAGGCTCAGATGAACAGCGTTAGTATGCAGTTGCAACAGGCGGCGATGACTATGAAAATGGGGGAGGCCGTCGCGGGCTCAACACAGGTGGGAGTGGGGCAGTGTGGATAGGAAGTGGCGAAGGTGTGGTATCAGATAATGCACGCTATGTCTTCGCTCATCAAGTTGCCTGAGTTGACTGAGACGATGGAGGGCATGGCAAAGGAGATGGAGAACTTAGGCATCATTGAAGGCGTTATGGCAGACACTCTCGATGCTGTGGATGTAGTAGTAGTAGGTCGGCGGCTAGAAGATAGGAGGTCTTTCCTAATTGTAGGACGTCGACATTGACGAAGCAACCGATCAGGAAGTGAATAAGGTCCTCGAGGAGCTAGCAGTGGATACTATAGCCAACGTAAGGGCCGTGGGCTCACCATCGAGGACTCGTACTGGTTCAGGTACCAGCAGCTGCTCATGGAGCTCTACCGGCTGGTCAGAAAGTCCCTGCAGGGAAGGCAAAGCTGTCGGCTAAGCAGGTGAGGTTGGGGTGGTGACTGTGTCGGGGGGCAGGGCTTGTGTCTCAGGCCTCTGAGGAAGCGGAGTTGGAGAGACGGCTTAACGCACTTTGAGCTATTCGCAGTACTGATTTTATAATTTGTGTGAAGATTGCATACCACATTTCCGCCACTTCGTCGTGTGTTGGGTGGGGTCGTTCTGTGAGGCCACATGGTCAGTATTGTGTTGTGGTTCCTTCCTTATAGGGCTTCATGTTCGGCAGCGGAGGTTCGAGTAGTGGCGGCAACATCTTCGGTACTGTTCGGCTTCCACAGAGGAGTTGGTCTGCTATCCCTTTCCTAGGTGCCTCAGCTCCCAGCGGTGGTGGTCTCTTCGGGTCTACCACCTCGTCCTCTTCGACAGCTACAACAACTAGTGGTGGCCTCTTTGGAGCGGCTCCCTCTGCTAATACTGGCGTTTTCGGTGAGCTATGATTCTCTGTACCTCTTGGGAGTGACTTTTTTCAGGAGGCAGTGGTACGGCTGGCTCCGGTGGAGCTGGTGGGCTCTTCGGTGGAGGTAAGAATCATCACTTCTCTTGTTGCCAATTTACATGGGGTTTCGAGACATTGGATAGTTTAAGTTCGTGTGAGATAGCTAGTTCACTTCCAACATCGCTCTGGACCTCATCCCGGGCTCACCTTCGGCCGATCGGTTTCGTCCATGTCTTGTTGCTACTACTGCATGTGACTATATATGGCAGCTCACGGTATCAGGTCCTTCATCAGCGGGAGCGTCTGGTGGTCTCTTTGGAGGTAGGAAGTGGAGGAGGTATGGTATTGCATTACAGCAGTTGCTTCAGCGCCTTCCTCCTCCTCCTCATCGACTGGCGGATTATTCGGCTCAGCACCGGCAAGCACCACGGGCAGCTCTAGTAGTGGTGGTGGACTCTTTGGGGTAACTGCCCCTTCATCGTCTACTACGGGTAGCCTTTTCGGCACGGCGGCACCGGCCAGTAGTTCTACGGGAGGTGGCCTATTCGGCTCAGCCCCGGCCTCGTCCTCAGCAGCCGGTGGTGGGCTCTTTGGGTCGGCCCCAGCATCGTCCTCAGCAGCCGGTGGTGGGCTCTTTGGGTCGGCCCCAGCATCGTCCTCAGCAGCCGGTGGAGGCCTATTCGGCTCAGCTCCGGCATCGTCCTCAGCAGCCGGTGGTGGGCTCTTTGGGTCGGCCCCAGCATCGTCCTCAGCAGCCGGTGGTGGGCTCTTTGGGTCGGCCCCAGCATCGTCCTCAGCAGCCGGTGGTGGGCTCTTTGGGTCGGCCCCAGCATCGTCCTCAGCAGCCGGTGGAGGCCTATTCGGCTCAGCTCCGGCATCGTCCTCAGCAGCCGGTGGTGGGCTCTTTGGGTCGGCCCCAGCATCGTCCTCAGCAGCCGGTGGTGGGCTCTTTGGGTCGGCCCCAGCATCGTCCTCAGCAGCCGGTGGAGGCCTATTCGGCTCAGCTCCGGCATCGTCCTCAGCAGCCGGTGGTGGGCTCTTTGGGTCGGCCCCAGCATCGTCCTCAGCAGCCGGTGGAGGCCTATTCGGCTCAGCTCCGGCATCGTCCTCAGCAGCCGGTGGTGGGCTCTTTGGGTCGGCCCCGGCATCGTCCTCAGCAGCCGGTGGTGGGCTCTTTGGGTCGGCCCCGGCATCGTCCTCCTCTGCATCTTCATCATCGTCGGCTGCTGGCGGGGGGCTATTCGGCTCAGCCCCAGCTGCCAGCAGCAGCAGTGGTGGTCTCTTCGGTGGTGAGTTAACTGTATGCTCGAATGTCAGTAAGGGTCTTCCCTCAGCCACTACCACTGCAGCCTCCTCGACGACTCCTGCTGCTGCTGCCGGTGGCCGCGTGGGCATCTTAGAACACAGGAAGCTGAATGATGTCCTTACCCTCTGGGACCAACGGTAGTAGGGCTGGGAGGATAGTAGGACTCAACAAGTGTGGCATTGTTGGTGCTTCAGACTGTCAATGCAAGCTAATCAGTTCAACCAGTACGGATCTGAGGTCCTGGCCGTCGACTCCAAACTGGTTCAAGCTACTAGGGAGCTCAGGGCCCTAGATGCCCAGCATGTCCAGCTCAAGAACACCGCCCAGATGGTACCCTCTGCCACAGTCTGCTGATGCTGATGCTGTAGCCGGCTTTTACAGGTGGATTCGGCATTGGCGTCGATAGCAGGTCAGCAGCAGTCGCTTGGGGAGCTTTTGGAAGATGTCGAACAGGCTGTGTTGAAGGAAATGCAGGGCACTGCTGCTGGTGGCGTGTCGAAGTGGGTGCAGAGGGTCCGGGGGGATGGACGATTGTTTGTACTGTTAGTGTTAATGGCTCTGCCTCGGCGTTGTTGTCGGGAGTGCAGCGCGGCAAGAATGAGGCAGCGAGTGGTATGATGGAGGAGGTCTCGGGTTCGATCCCTGGCATGGGTATTTCTTCAGTCGGAGATAGAGCGGTGGCTGTTTCTGGGCAGCTGGACGATATGGAACGCCAACTAGAGGAGCTCATGGCCACCACCAAGACGGTAGTATGCGCATCTCATGTACGTTAGTGCAAGATGCAGTAGCAGCTCGCCGATTCGACTTACGCTGGGGACGCAAGTAGCACTGCTGAACCGACAGCATTGCAGAGTTTGGTGAAGATCTTGAACATACACCAGAAGTCTCTGGAGCATATCACGGAGCAGACGAACGAACTACACAGGTGATTGTATTCGAGGGCTGCCTTGTGGTTGACGATGCCTCGTAGGACTTTGGCCAGCCTGGAGCGCTCTGGCTGAGTTGGGCAGCCGGCCTCTTGAACGTCGATCAGAATATAAGTCTGCGAAATTCCTGCGGGTTTCAAAGCTTTCGTAAAGTCGTGTTGTCCGGTTAATCACGAGGGGAGTTGTACTGACTGCAGCCTTCCTCTACTATGACTCCATCTCCTGTTGCTGAATTTGCCCGCTCTGAATCAGTCGAAAAGTCGCAAGTCGCGTATAGTGGCGACGACGCGAAACCACAAAGCCCGAGAAGGAAGCCGTCCGAACTGGGTGCGGGTGAACAGCAGTCTAAGGAGACGTCTGGTCAAAGTCGATCTCGCCCTGACTACGTGGACTACTACCACCGGTCCAAGCTTTGTATTTACTTCCTAACGCGACAAGGTGGATGCTCTGCCGGTGATGATTGCCCTTATGCTCACTGTCCTGAAGAACTGAAAGACCCCAAGTCGTACGCGTGCCCAGAGTATGAGCAGTTTGGTCAGTGCCAGGGTTTCAACGAGGGGAAGTGTCCCTATGGTCACGGCGTTGAAGACATACACTTCGTCCCTCGAAGGCTCATGGAGGGCGCCTGTAAGTACGGGATAAGGTGCAGGGCGGGCGACAACTGCAGATTTGCACACACTGAAGAGGAGATGAAAACTGGCATGAGACGGTATTGCTACAATCTGGACAACAGTGTTGATAGAAAGCTGAAGGAAATGTACCCAGGGCAGCAGCCGCGGAAAGATAATGGTGATCAGAGAAATCCACCGAAACGGTTGGAAATGCTGAAAAATCAACAACAACAGCAGCCGGTGGCGGCGGCGGCGGCTGTGGTGACACAGCAGAAGTCGGGGGCTGGGCGAGAAAAAGGTAGAGGAAGTCGGCCCAGAAGCACGAGTATGAGTATCCCAGGGGAAAGCGGCATGGGCTCGGTTGGTGGTGTCGACGGTAGTCGTCGGCAGTCTTGGGAGGAACAACAACGAAGTCATCAAAATCGTCCTGGTTCGCGTTACGAGAACCCAACGACAGCTGTGCTGAGCGGAGCTGGGCAGCATTGTAACGGGAGTATGGGAGAGGTGCCTCTTCTACATCAGCCCACGGCTATACTCATGCCTAGTGGTTCCTATCCCACTGCACCGAGTAGTAATAATAACAGCAACCAGCACAACACCGTTATGGGTACACCGGCATTACGCACGCCGAACTGGAGTGTTGTGGGCCAGGGGGCCACTACTGCTGCTGCTGGTCCTCAGCAACATCACCAGATGGTGCTATTGAACTATCACAATCAGCACCAACAACAACAACAAGAAGGCTATCCTACGTAAGTGACGACTTTGAGTTTTGCGGTGTTCATGATCTCTGAGGCTTTTCCGTAGAGGCATGTGGACGCACGCGGAAGATTTTTCGGCGGGGTATCTTTGAGGAATTATTCAGGTATTACTATGGCCGAGTACCGCCACAAGCAGCAGATCATCATCACAATCATCATCAACATCATCCTGCTGCTGGTGCTCCGACAGAAGACGCTATTGCGATGCATCGAGCGATGGCAACAGCAGCCGTTATAAGGAGTCACCAGATGCAGCAGATGGCAGCAGCAGCGGTACCGTGCTACTCCTCGGGCTTTCGGAAGCTTCTCATTCATAGGTAGCTGCTGCCGCGGCAGTGCAGGCTGGCGGCCCAGCCTATTGGCCTAACACTGTGAACGGGTCGAGAACTAATCCAAGCAGTGACTCTCTGTCGTATTGTGAGGAGCCTCAGCCCACAGGAGTGTGTGGTCCACTGCTATCTAAGCCCCCGGTACCAACAGCGTCAGTCCAGTATGGTGGTGGCGCTGAAAGCTACTGCACGAGGTCTTCTAGTGGTCGAACGATAGGCCCGAATGAGATGCCTTTCGGTAATGGCTACAGCCCTCGTAGTGAGAACTATGCAAATAACCAACAGCAGTATCACGACACTTATCCTCGTCAACAACAACATTATGTTGCAGCTCTTTATCCCTTTGGTGCCTCCCCTACGTATGACCAGACTGCAAGTGCCGCTGCTGCTGCTGCTGCCAGTAGTGGACTTGTGCATCAGTACCACAGCGGTGATGGGAATGGCTTCGCTAACACTTACCCTGGTATGTTGTATGAGGAATAGACCTACCTTCCTTTTTTTATCATCATCACCACTATGGTGACGATTGTGAAGTTTAATAACAGTATGAAGTTTACCTCTGTCTTATCTCGCAACTTCTCTTCTCAAGACTAGATTATCATTCTTATTAGAGTAAATCTCCCCGGACTCATTCGTTCACTTTTCTCCTCCCCAATCGTGTATTCTCTAGCAGAAATAAGTAACTCCAAGGGAGTTCCGGCCAATGGCCGCTTTTTGTCTGCTGTTGTTTGTTTATTTCGCCTTTTTTCGATACCACTCCTTCGGTCATACTGATGGCATGGGTCATCGTCATGAATTCGCCGGCTCCTCTGATCTCACTCTTGCGGCTGTTCATATTGACAGCTACTGCTGTATAAGTCTTTTGTAGTCAGTAATAGTATCTTAATTTTTGAGTCTGATAACAATGATAAAAATAGAGTAAATGTTCCAGAAAAAGGGAGCCTGCCGGGATAGAACCTGCGCTGCATGCTCGTCTGTTTGCTAGTATTCGTGTGTCTATTCGCTAGCTCATTTTCGCCGTGTCTCTCACTGATGAGTTGCGTAGAGTGTGGTTGTGATTAGTCCGAACTATACTCTTGAGGCCCTGGGTCTGCGTCCTGAATGCGTCTGTTGTCCGCCTGGAAGTTGTGGTTTTCACTTGGGCGTTTTGAGCAGTCGTGATGGGAGCATCCACGTTGAGCGAACGGGGATGATGAATATGAAGATGTTTGCATCTGGTGACAACGAGATTTGATAGCATGGGGCTAGCATTATTCGAAAGTTTCATCATTATGTTGAGTTGTTTGAGTGGATAATCCCCTCATCTGATACACTCGACAAGCATAGAGACTCGTGGTGTCGTGTGACAAGGACTGCTTATAGAACTTTTTTAAGGACCAGTGCCGGCCGGTATATTTACGAAGCAATATTAGACGTCAGCACTGGGAGCTCCTCGAAGGAAGGACCAAGGTGACTGAGATACCTCACAAATCTCCATCTAGTTGGAACACCATTTCTGTCAAATCTAATAAGCGAACACTATCATTTGTTCGTGTAACGCCGTTGGGATATACACTATTGCAAGTGATTAGATATCTAGAGTAGTCTGATTCAAACACCCCGAAAACACGCGTCCGACTGTGGGAGAGTCTCAGCTGTTATACCTCGCACATGTGCATCGTGAGCTTTCGAGTCACTACTTGTAACACAATAAGACACATGTGTACGTTAGAAATGATGATGTACTCTCAATCTACTGTGTCTTCATCTCCACGTCCTTATCATCTTCCTTGACATTTTCACTCGGCAACTTCCATATTTTAAATTGACGATCAAAGCCAGCAGTGGCAACCACCGACCCATCAATATCAGCAGACATAACCTGAATAGAACCTTTAAGGCTATTAACATTTCAACCAAGGCGGCCTACCTTGTTGCAAGCAATAGGAAGATTTCGCACGTCGGTCCAATCCAGCGTACTCCAAATTTTCGCGACACCGTCATAGCCAGCCGTGAGCAATAGTCGACCATCGGGGGAAAATCGGACATCCGATATCAACTTTTCGTGAGCAGGGCTGAAGTCCAAATTCGATAGCAGAACAAGATTCCTAATGCGTACAGATTTTCCAATCTACGACGCTTCCGAAGGTCCCATAGTTTCACACTGTTGTCCATCCCACCCGTGGCCAACTGGAAACCATTGGGGGAAAAGTCAACCGCGAGTACACCTGAATTTTGAGTAGAACAATTTTCCGAAAATCCGCGACTCACCCTTGCAGTGTCCTCCATCCTCATATGTAAGAGGAAGGACTGTCCGACCAGTACGAAGATCCCATACTCTCACGACCCCACTCATGTCCGACGTAGCGATCAGTGACCCACAGGGATGGATGGCGAGACCGAAAACCTACGAGATAAAGCATAAAGGAAGCCACCACGGCCGCACGAGGAAGGACCGGATGGTTGTGCCCTTCCTGGAGCAGTATTTCCTCTTGCTTCTCGATGTCCCACAGTCGCCATGTGTCGTCATGAGAGGTCGAGGCGACCAACTGCGGGAAGACCTGATCGAACACACCATTTTCCCCTACGTATGAATCATTTCAACTCACTGGAACATATTCAACATTATTAACACGCATCTCATGGCCCTCCAGAACCGCACTCGGCTGTAATGAAAGTGGCTCGTCGATATTAGTGTCCACATCAGCCGTGGGTAGATCCCAAATACATATCTGCATTACACTACTACTACTAGACCTACTGTAATAAGCCTTACGTTATGGTCAGCCCCACCGCTCGCTAGTTGACGGCCATTTGGGCTCCACGCAACGGTTTGGCATCTGAATGGCAACAGGAACGAACACATTACAGCTGTACTAAGTGGTCGGTATGAGCTCATCTTACTTCACGGTTCACTCCAGCGAGATAAGCGCATATAGCAATATGGGGGAAATATGCACATCATCAACTACATGTGTTGGTGACAATATGGAAAACCTGGGGAAATTTTTGCAAGATTATTTTTTTCCGGATTCGTAAGTAAACTCCTATAGTAAACGAGAGAACTCCTGAGCTCAGCTGAGGAAAGTGAAAATATGTTCTGAAAATGTATAAACCAGTGAGCATTTCCCACAATTTCCTCGGAATTTTCACATCGTCACCAAAATCAATTCAGTCATCTCGATACTAATCAGTCCCCACCTGTCTGAGTGCCCATGCCCATCAGATCCCAGGGTGTACAGTCGCTTCATCTTTTCATCCGCAGTCCATATCTGACATGAAATGAATCTTTCAGCAGTCAACCTAAGATTCCTACCCCTATATAACCACTCCAGCTAGCCACAGCAACCCTCGGAGCCTGTGCATGAGGATCAGCCCCCCTTGTCGCCCTTGATAGACGTATACACGACAAGGGTCGGGTATCCGAGCCAGCTCCAGTGAATTCCTCAATTGAGTGGGCCGACCTATAAGGAGCTCAGCTACAACGATAGCAGCAACAGCACCGACTTGAGCGCATCAGCAAGGACCGTGAAGCGCCTGTTGTAGTCGTAATCAATTGTCTTATGGAAGTCCTCCCTCTCAGCCTCAAGGACCTACAGCACCTCACATCGCAATGTCCCCCCAAACCGAATGGGCTTGATAAACACACCAACTCGGGGAGACAGTTTACCTTTTTTGATTTCTGCCTAGTAATATCCCACAACTTTCGTCGCTTAGCCATGAGGTTCTCACTACCAATAGTAAAGAACAGCTCCTGTTCAACCTTGCCTCTTTTATCATCTCCTACACTCTAAAATATCATCACATATACTCCCATAATTATCACCTCTAGAGGCCTCTTTTGCTGCAGCTGCTGCTGCCGGCTTGAGGAGCTCCTGGTACTTGCCCTTGGACAATAGCAACTTGAGTCGACCTCTTCTATCAGCAGGATCCTCCCCAAAGAGGCAGATGGGCTCCCCTATGAGCCTGAGCTTGTTCTTGACCTCTCTGTCGGACCCAGGCACAGCAGCGCTGAGATCTCCTTTGGTCTTCCTAACCTCCTCAAATGCCTTGTGTAGCTCATCAGCTTTCTGCTTGGCCCTTAGAAGAACCTGGATAGATCCAGTACAGCTCGATATGGATAAAGGCTATCAAAATTTTCAGCGATGTGGCGATAGAGTTATTGAATATACATTTATTTTACAGTTTATATTCAATGAATATACATAGCGATCATATACGACCACGCATCGCAAAGGTACACGATAAAACCTAAGTAGATATAGAAATGTAGGATAATGTTGATTACTAGTACTAGAATATAATCCCATGTATAACGTTATACGATACTCCCATCGACTTGATGTATAAAATACAGCCTTGGAGGAATATATGTTCGCTTTCCTCGGCTGAGTCTAGGAATTTCCTCACTAATTATAGAAGTTTAAATCCGAATTTGAATGGAAGTGTACAGAAATCAATGAGAATTTCCTCAGTTTTTGTCAGATTTTCCACAAATTGTTACCTATACATGTAGTTGACCATGTGCGTATTTTCCTATATGGGTCGATCGAGACTTCCAATCCTGTCGTACACTATAAAGCCTCTTGTGACGATATCAATTACTAACAAATGTATAATACATAATGATATAGCCCTACCGAATTGACGAATAGGTCCTACATTATTAATTGTATTGTGCTATATACTAATACAGTAACTACTCAGTTTACCAGGTGGATTCGATCTCACCAAGATAGCGCGTCTCGGGCAATGCTTGGATGAATGCGAATAACAATTTACCCAATTCCCAATATTATCACCTCAGACTCCCTTCTAGGGCCCTCATTTGACGACGAAGTAGTGGGCGCGGGGAGATGGTGGCTAGAAGCAGCCTCATCACGGAGTACCGCCTCACTGACGTCTCCATAATGCCTTATGTTACTCATAGGAACCAGGGAACCGACAACCAATACACATCAATTAACGTCAGACCTCTTGCAAATCTTGAAATCTTGCTTTTCCTCAACGTAGTCGAGCCGCGCGAACGATGTGCCGTCGTTCTAATTGCGACTAGGATGAATGTATTAGTAGCATACACAGCAAGGCAGATGCCGCTCATGTGGAGGAATGCTGTCTGCTGTGCAAGGAATCCATGATTTATAAAGCGGTAAAGCTAGGGATCGAACCTGGGCTCATCGGTTTCACGTTCACAATGATACTGCTCGGCTATGACGGTAGTTGCATGATTCATTCCCTGAAATCCCTCCAGCTTAACAGTGAACAGCACTGGAAGAGGTTGTCCTTTGCCTAGCTAGTGTCTGCATCAATGGTTGTTCCACTACCACCAACGTCAGCCCAAGGGGAGGCCTCTGAGGACCTACTCCGGATGATGAGGCCGGCCAAATACTGCACCATAGGCCTGTGGGTGCTAGTGCCCATCAGACTCATTTTGGACGGGCTCTTTAACTGTCTCGCTGTATTGTAATAGCTTGGGATTCCACTGAGGAAGCCCCTCTAGGGCCATTCGGTTTCGATAGGTTTTCCGCGCTGTGCTGCACTTACCTGCTCATGAACGACCCCAGTATGGCCTCTTGCTATTCCTGTCTTTTCAACTCGCCCTTGGGGGCCTGTGGGCCCGGCGGCTTGCAGTGCCTATTGCCTGCAATATTCATCTGTGAGTCACCCACTAGGCCAGTGTGGGATTATATGCACATGGTCAACAACATGTGTTGGTAGAACATGGAAATTCTGAGGAAATTAGCGTTGGTTTCCGTACCAATATCATGTGTGGATCTCCATAATGTAGCGAGTAAACTTACGAGCTCAGTTGAGGGAACCAGAAATATATTCTCGCACTGCACTAAGCCAGCCCTGGAGGACAGCTGCTGCTACCCTCAGGTGTTATAAACTGCCTTTTTGACGGCATACGCTTCTTCAGTACGATATCTATCACCGTTCACTTGGCCAAGTTAGGCTTCGTCGTTCCGATGCTTTTGGAGTTATCATTGCTACTTTCATTCGTCCTACAGGTAGTAGTAGTAGTAGTGGTAGTAGTAGTGGTATTTCAGTAAATGCGGGCGGGTGTTCAGTACACTGGGTCAGCTCTGATTCTGGAACTGACTTTTCCTTGTGGGAAGAAATCCTAGGGATATTCCTGAGCAAAATATCGGCCTTTCTATTATCATTCTCATCCTCCCTGACCCCGCGTTGTAGTTCCCCTCTGGCGGTTGGCACCCGTTCGTGGTAGCTCTCAGTTGTGTTTCTCAGGGGGTAATAGGATGGGTAGCATACAAGGTCTTCAAGCAGATCAGTAGTAGTGCGGGAGATGCATCTCAGCCGTTCCTGGGCGGTAATAAAGACGGATAGGGCCTATATGCGGCTATGTCACGTTCAGGCGATCCCTATGCTATTGGGCAACCACCCGCTGGACCTGTGTCGTATCGGACGACATTTGGTAAGCCTTGGGGAACTGCATCTCATAGCATCGAGAGTCGAGTCGCCGAATTGTATCGTACGACTGACTATTCTATCAAGCCTGCGTCTCAGGTGCTCCCACCGGGGGTCAAGTGAATCAGATATCAGGAGGAGTAATCGGGGCGAGTAGGAACAATCGAGGGTTTGTCCCATTTGGGGGTTCGGGTAGACAGCTTGGTGGCGAGTGAAGGGTGGTACTATTGTGATACATTTATGGATTGTTTCTCATTACTACTACAGAGTATAGTTGGGAGAAGGTTACCTTAGAGGAGTGGACAGTAGTATAATTAATCTCAATATGATCGCGCCTGATGAGTCTATCGGTGATGCTGGTCGTGAGCAACACTATCCTAGACTCACGTTAACCGCGGTGATCGCGCATTGGCCACTAAAAGAAAATGCTTCATAACGTCGTAATCCCGACGAATAAACGATTGGACATATCGATGACATACATGAAATCGACACAAGCAAATATGGAGACAATCGATCTGATCGTTACTCGATACCAGTACCATAGATGAGGAATACGAGGCAACGCAATGCGTCATGCTCAAGCTGGCCAGCTTAACGAAAGGAAAGTCATCGATCTCCCCTTTAGTGGAGAGGAGGACTATTTCAGGGAAGATGTGGACGACCTTGGGTAGAATCGCCATCACAGATTTCGACAAATCGATCAGCTGGGCGTGCGAGAATGGTAAATTCTGAGCGCGTAACGACTGGTTGCGGCGCGCGCCGAGGGACAACCAGTGTTCGCAAAGCTTCTCGGAAAATCTTAGCGTTTCGAATGCGAGCTATTTGAAGCGATTTTCACGCCCACACACTAATGAACTCGGTTGGTGAAAGTTCGTAAGGAACACACCATGGGAATGCAATGCATGGATGATTATCCTCGATGATTACAATTTACCTCTGAGACGACCTGTGTGGTCGTCAATGAGCTCACTCTCATTCGATTAGTCTTTATGATGAGGACTAGCATTATCTGTCAATGATGTTGAATATGAACTCGTTCCGCTTCATCGGATTCTGAGGTGCTGCCGACAATGGCCTACCGGTGATTTGTAATCTTCTCTCTGAGGCATCACAAATTAACCTAGTCCATCTCGACGTTGAGCGTGATGGACGGTAGCAAAATTTTGAGTGACGATCCACATTGGAACCGACATATGGCTACGCGTTATAGGCCTTGCCGTTTTGAATTATTGCTCTCCCTTAGATCGTCGGGAAGTAATCGTAGGGGAAAACCAAGTCTACACTAGTCCGGTTCTAACTGGTGGGTGAGGAACTTAATGTCATCAGATGTGATTCATGGGGAAAGTGTTGGACTGATGCCTGAGAGGCCGTTTTATTCATGATTCTCTTCGAAGTAGTCTCAATCATCGCCGTGAACTGGTTATGTAGTACCACTATAGATAACGCATGTTATTCCTGTTGTAAATATTATCAGCTTCTTGTCTCTAACACGGTAGTTTTGATCAAGAACGACGGAACTGAAGTTACTGGCTTGTTGCATCACTACTTACTAATGCTAGTGGGCCCCAACGTAATAGGAATGTTTTGTATTTCGTCGGTTGATTCAGCGCAAGAACCTCGTCGTTTCCTTGATAATTTGCCGGATGCATTCTCGTTATGGTACGGTCTGATACACATTTCCATTTGAGAGATGCCGCGCGTTATCGTGAATTTCTGTGCCCGCCCGCCTCGGAATACTCTCCGGTGGGATTGCTGATACCACCTCGTTGCTAGAGTTCTCCGAATATATAGTTTTTGTGAGGATAAGTGAGGTAATGTGTTTCCTCATGCAACAAGAATGGATTACGTGGTAAGAATCATGAAGGCTGCTGTTGATCGACATTTGTATGTAAACCACTTTTTCTCGATATTACGGCGGTATTATCGGCCCGTATCATTATCGCTGCGGATATACTGGATGCCATTCATTGCACTTGCATGCTACTCGTAGTTCTGGGAGTCTTTGGCGACTGCTCCGAGGACGCGGGATGAATACACGCGGAGGATGGTGTCATCTCCTCTATTTTCATCCTCCTAATTGCGTCGATCGGACATGCGTCATCTGAATGGATTACGGAGTCGGGCTGGAATAACCGTCCGGATCAGTTTGTGCGAGGCAGTTCAGATGATGATATGCACATGGTCAACCACATGGGTTGGTGAAAATATGAAAATTGTGAGGAAATTTCGGGGAGATTATCGTTGGTTTTCGTACACTTCTACTCGAAATTACGTGTAGATTTTCGTATTGTAGTGAGGAAACTTACGAGCTCAGTTGAGGAAAGCAAACATACATCCCCACACTGGTTGGAGGTGATGGAAAGGTGAGAGGAAGTAAGGATTACTTGCGGCTCCTCCCCAGTGATCATCGGTACAGTACTGACGGTATTGTGTAGGAATCTATGTTGTTATCACTGACCTCGACATTGCCTGTTATTGGCCTGTGAAAACTCAGTGTGTGGAAGCTTTTCCATTCTCGATCTTTGACATGACAAGTTTCACGGCATACGCTAAGTCCCACTGATATAGGCATGGATTTATTTCATAGGATATCATAATAGGTTATGAACTGTAAATATGAATAAAATATAATATATAAAGTCAGTATACATGTAAATACTAATATTATTAGGTTAAAGTGGCATCTAGTGTAGCCCATGTTGTCCTCTGTGGAACGATAGTTTCTTGATGACTGGTATTGGGTTGAGTTCAGCTCTCTCTAATATTATGTGTCTGTAGTATGCTCACCCAACAATGGTCTGGGTGTCATGAGACCAGTATATGTCATAATAGGGTCAAATTCCGATCTAGGGCGAATGATTGAGCCTCACAGGTTGGATATCCTTATCGTTACTCTTCTGGTTGGGCCGCTCAGTTGATTTTGATGGTGCTGGACTACTCGAAGTGGGATAATCTCGACGTGTCCAGTTCTTCGTCGTCGGATGAGAGGGAAGATGATGATGACATGTACATCGAGGTAGGTGGGTTCCTTCGTGGTTGTGGATACAGTTCTTCTAGGGAGAGCCTCCAGTCTCCACGACTACTGGTCCGGGTGGCTTGCAAGTGCGGTCCTTCGATAAGCCAGTGTCGGTGACGCTCGGTCAGGGAAAAAAGAGGAAAGGAGAAGAGCGAGGTGAGATTGAAGTGAACCTACTGTTGGACTGAATGCTGTGTAGCTGGCGGGGAATGGATGAATTGAACATGTGGACCGAAGTGAGTGTAGGTACTTCATCATCACAATCAGGAGCTGTGAATCATAGTAACGACTACGTGAATGGGGTGTATACTCGGAACGGCTCGAAGTGTGATAAGTAGTATGGGTGATTGCTTGATAGGCGATAGCAGAGGGACTTAATACTGCATGTGCGTGATAGAACAGTACTCACGAGACCGATGACACTGTCGGTCTTGGAACGGTCTTATCTTTTTTCGAAGGTCGGTTTTGGAGGGGACAACAAGGAATATAGCCAAATGTAGCGCATTACGATTTGCGCATGACAAGGTGGAATATCTTGGCGCGCCTAGAACTGTTTGCGTCCAATCTTGAATAGGGAACTCAACAGTGCTTAGCTGGAGAGGTTTGGTTGCGGCTGTATGTTCATCCATCCTAGGGTGAGGATAGTGTTGTAGGTATTATTGGTCGCAAACCAAGGATTCGGTCACAATCTCGGTGGTAGTTCCTCAAGGAATCAAAGGGAAAGATGTCAAATCCATCACCGTGAATCGCGATAACGTGTTGACGCTCGATCTAGCAGGTAGAGGGGACGACTTCTCTTTACTTTGATGGGCCGGCCGAAGTCCTTCCGGAATTATTGCTGGTTCGATCCTCTACTGTTGATTCAGGGGAGGAGTCGTACTTCAGTGGACAGTTGGAGTTTACTGTTAAGATGGACGATCCAGAGGAGGACATCTCGTGGGAAATGAAGGATGTAAAAGTCTTACCTTCCTCTGGAACGCTGTAACGAACACTGTTAGGAGTAGTCTGCGCTGTGTAGTCGACTCGAACAACGCTGCACTCAGTTGGAGTGTGAAGATGAGTTCATTATAAGATTCCCTTAGGTTGCGGACGCCTCCCATCGGGTAGTGGAGATATCACTACGTAAGAGTGAACCGCTGCTACCCGGCTTGGTCATGTGGTGGTCCGATGCCATCAAAGATGGAGGAGCTGGGGTGGATGTAACTTCTTTGCCAGATCGAAGAAAGGACTCCAACATCAAGCAGGTGAATTGAAGTGGAATGCCGCTTCACGTCCGTTGCGTTCGCCCGTTCCCTTGCGAGGGAATGTTCTGATGTTATCATGAACTCGAATGCTGAAGTCGATGTTAGGTTCAAGAGGCCTGGAAAGAGGCGCAAGAGGCTTTTAAAGAGAAGCGAAAACAACCTCAAGAGAAGCTCGAGCTGTGATGATATTTCAAGCTGTTGAAAAGCGTTATTCACTCAGTGTCTACTCGTTTCATTTCACATTGCGCTGGAGTTGCATGGAATCTTGTTATTGTGAGTCCACGTCCAGTATAGTAGTTTCAATCCCACTGTCAACATAGCCCGGCGATTGCAGTCGATTGAGATACGAGTTTATCCAAGACTAGAGGCGTTCGTCTCCATAGGCTTCAAAGGCTCACTGGAAGAAGAGCGTTGGCAAATTACACAGGATGGTGCTCGAATCATCAGAAAGTAGGTATCCAGGGTCAAACGACTGGCCTGCAAGGAGCTTGTCCTTTCTTGATCATTGGTCTTTCAGGATAAGTGATTCGTCACCCTTCGCAGATATGAATGCTGAGCCAACGCCCTCTGATGTGAAGGAGGTCCTGGAGCTGGTCAGAGAGCACTCGAGATTTCCAGTACTGCGGTGGGTGGTCTTTTGTGCGCCTTGAAGTCTGTGTCGGACGTAGCACGCCTTCCGATGGACGAAAATTGGGTTGGACGAGTGTAGTATAATGCTACTAGCGTTGTGCTAGCAAGCTAAACCGTTGATGCTACCAGTGTCTGGGCATCACGGATGTTCCTATACCAAGCTACCCACTGCATCTACTCCATTGGCAGCAACTTCAAGTCGAGACCGTCGCTTTTCGCGGCGAGATACTGCTATCCTAGAATGTCGATGGAGGAAGCGTTTGAGTGCGAACAACACGGGTGCTTCGAAAGCACAGCTACCCGCTGCGTCTACTTTGTTGGTAACAACATCGAGCTAAAGATGTCACGGCTAAAGATTCCCATGCACCACTGTAGGTGGTGATGCGTCTCTAATCGTCATTCGCTTCTGCATGTTGTGACCGTTGGTGATCAATGTATGGGGATTTCTTGCTTTCAGGTAATAGGGCTCGAACGACAGCTAGTTGAGTTGATGCAGCGGCAGCGAATAGCGCGGAAGTCCGACGAGCGGAAGCAGCAGCCTCGGTACGGTCCTCTCACTCGCCGTTCCGGTACGAACTTGGCCGAGAGCAGAGTGCCTATGGGGGAGCAGTCGGCGCCGTCTGTCGCCAGCACGAAGCCTTCGACCTTTGGTTCAATTGTCGCGGACTCGTCGCGGGACATAGGCGGCAATACAGGTCTCGACAATCCCAACGGGGGGTTATGGAATTTCCGAGGAAGGCTGGGGGAGAAGTTGCAACAGGCTTTGGGTCGTAATCCGGACGCCTCTGAATTGAGCTTTTCGTACGATATGCTGGAGGGAGGTGCTGGCTTTATATGTACAGTGAACGTGTTTGGAATCGACTTTCGATCTGATCCTTGCCCCAAGAAGAAGCAAGCTGACCAAGATGCTTGTAGGAGTGCATTGGAGTCTTGGGATACGCTCATACGAGACACGCTAGCGTTGCGGGTGGCTGTGGAGCCTCAGAGTGAACCGGAGTCTAGTCGTTATCGAATGGATGCCAAGAGCCGGCTCAATCATGCTCTGCAGCGAAAGTTGGGACGACCGGTCACTCGAATGGATGTTACTTATCACACTGAACTGGTGCAGGGCAAGGACAACCTGTTTAGGTCGATAGTAAGGCTCGGGTGTCTACCTGGCGATAGGACTTTCGAAGGTTTTGGAGCCGTTGGCAAGGGAAGTGCTGAGCAGGATGCGGCAGCAAGGGCTCTGGAATGGTTGGATAGTGTGCCCCTCTTTGACCATCCTTAAGGTCACATTATTGTATTCCTGAGGATCCATCTTTGGCCCCTTGGAGTTGACTGTGAATTATTTCTACCGTAGTCTCTTGTTACTATTTGCTACATTTGTCGCTGGTCGGTCGAGCTTGTTAACTGAGTGGAGCCTTGTTTATTATATTTACAACTGCGGACTCCTGGATGCGGCTTGATAGCGCTTATATGAGGTGATCAGCTGCTGCTGTTGATGTTAATCTTGGGCTGAGATTACCGTGGCCTGCATAGTGCTTACTGGTTAGCGTCAGTGGGCTTCAGTCTGCCTTGTTCGTCACCAATATCGTACTTCTACTGCTCGGCTGTCCTCATTCCTCCAAATGATATCTCATAGTTTTCACAGTGTAGTATATAGCTGTCTTAGCTATCATTAGTTTGCTATCATCGCTTTTGTCGTTCAGTCGTCTTAGTGAGTTGGCCATCTCTGTGGAACCTCGTGGGGTGTAACTAGAATAGAATTACTTTACCACTATTGGAATTGGATCGGGAGCTATGCGGGTTTCCGTGACCTGTACTTCTGCAATATCGTTTCGAGCCACTCAGGGATTGCATTCGTCGACCAGAGCTTAGATCTCGGGTTTTCCTTTTTCAAAGTAGTGTGATTGTTGCGATGAAATCGGGCAAGGCAATAGGAAGACAGAACGCCCTTCGGCGGAATGTCGCAAAGCTGCCAGCATCTGTGAGGATACGGAAGCCCATCGTGAGCGAGGCGAGTGAGAGCCTTGGCAGAGCCTTCTGGGAGGGGTGGCGTTCCAGTGTGAGTTGGACCGCTGTTGCTCTAGCCAGTGCCTTGAAGGGTGTAGGTACATCTTCAGCTTGAAGAAGTTCTAAAGCCGTCTGAGAGGACGGCTCTAAGGTCCCGGTACGTATCCATCGGAGTAGAGGCGACCTTCGAGATAGTCCAGTCTGGTCAGTGCTTGGCCGTCATCATGCCTTCTTCTACTGGGTGAGTCGCAGCGACTTCGAAAATCGAATTACTAGTCTCGAATATCCAAATGTCACAAGAATGTATACGACAGTCGACGAGGCATTAATGCGTGTGTTGTCAAACTTGTGCGGTTGTGAGGACTCACACCCTGCGCTGTGCTATAGTGTGACCACTGTGATTCTCGTCTCGAGTGACTTGCGTACACTAGCCCACTACCTCAGATCGTACAAGCTGAATCGGCACCTATGTCTGGGTTGCCAAGTCCAAGGCGTCCCTTTCGTCACACTCTCCACACCCGGGTGGGAGCTGGTCTGTCGGGCACTGGGCGTCAATCGTCTGGCTGCCCTGGGGTTCAAGGTGAGCCCGAATGCTTCTGCTACTCGCTAGGATAATCGTGCATCGCTGCCTCGTCAGCCGTTCGCGGGCACCTTACCATCGCTGAGTTCGGTGATAGCGGCGATTAGGGAAGGGTCTGCCATAGCTGGCCCATATGGGGGCTTTGCACGCCCTATGCCCTGGGATACGCAGACGCTCAACGTGAGGAGCGTCTTCTGGGACCATAGCTTGGCAGTCGACTTCATGTTAGATATCGGACTTCATGCGGACGTCGCGCCAAGGTCCAATGAAAGATACCAAGGAGTCTTCGAGCTCGCCAGAAGATGCACTATGCGATGCTGAGATGCCGTCGAGTTCTGAAGTAGAGCAAGCGGCCGCTGCTCTTCCGACTCCACAAGGCGATGATACGTTGTATGACATCTTGGGCCGAATGCTGGACGACTGATTGTCGCTGCCTTTACGTTTCTCGCGCACATGCAGTATGTGTTGCTCATGAGCTGGAATGCAAAACGGGTCAATGTGTTCTGGGGTCCACGTGTGAAGAAGCATCGAAATATGTGTCTGCGAGCCGTATGGAGTTCCAGTAATTTTATTTCCCCTAAGTGGGCCGAGAAGGAACGAGAGAGCCACGTGCTGGTGGTGTAGTGTGGTGCTGTAGTAGTGTTGGAATATATGTTCACTCTCCTCAGCTGAGCTCAGGCATCTGCTACGTCATAGAAGTTTACAGATGGATTCGGGTAGAAGTGTACAGAAACCAATAAGAATTACTCGAAATTTCCTCAGAATTTTCTCACCAGTATGTGTAGTCGACCATGTGCATATTTTCCCACACTACTAGTGTAGTGACGTCATTCGAAATAAAAGAAGGATTGAACTGTGTGAGAACATCGCACTTAGCGTTGGGAGAAGAGCAGGTTGGTTCAAGTGTGTTATACTGGATCTGTTGGAGTTCGGCGACTTCATGGGAGCTCTGAGTCTACGGGGCAAACCTAGGGTATTAGCCAAATAGTGATTAGTTGCTTGAGTATGGATCCCCTCATACCGGGAATGATACCGGCCCCGGCTGGAGGCACACCGCGGATCTATACCACTCCATGGTCACATCAGGACGGGTTTAATCAGATGCCAAAGACTGTGGGAGATGAGAGTAGGTCAATCCTCAGCGATCCGTTGCAGCGCTGTATTGTAAGGGGGCGCAATAATCGTTAGCAGTTGTCTCTGTCCCCTTACTTCAACAAGCTCGTGGAGGTTGAAGTAGTTAGGTTCTGACGGTTAGCGCAATTGCGGGAAAACATGTAGATGGTCAATTACGCGTTGGTGAAAATGTGGGAATTCTAAGAAAGTTTTTGTTTGTTTTTGTACACTTATATCGTCGTGGTTGAGAATGAAACTTTTACCCAATCCTGGTTTGATCGGAGTTCCTCATATTGGTAGGCACCTCCCAGGCTTCCACGACAGCAGCATATACTTCTTCCGAGCCTAGTCCGGGAATATACTCGTATACGCCTATAGATGGGAGGTAGGACAGCCTCATGAGGCTTGTGGACAGACCCTTCCCTCAGGTCGATTACGACTCCTACGATGACACTTTCGCCGATTCCATCATTACAGCGGCCGCAGCAGCATCAGCCTATAATACTTCCCTTCCGAGAGGGTGACTGGACACAATACAACTCGGTAGGTCTCCTCTCAGTGGTCTTCTGTAGACGGTGTTCATGTATAGTTACGGAGCATGTCTCAAGATGAGCCAAGCAGCTATGACGTGGAGGGGAGTCGGAATCTGAGGGCGAGTGATCATACAGAAGCCTTCAATGTGATGTTCCTATGGATGGCCTCGGGACAGTCTCTGTGCAGTGTGGACCTGGTCAACTACGTGTGTTGGTGACAATATTGAAATTTCGATAAAAGTTGGGGGAATTCTAATTGGTGTCACTCAGATGAGGAAAGCAAACGTATATTTCAAAACTGTTTTTATGGCAGGTTAGAATAGAAGACGAAAACGAACGAGATGTTGAGGAGGGTGCTTGCCTCAGTCTAGAGCACACCTGTGGATGGCCGTCCAGGAGAAGGCCCAAAATGTAACCATCTAGTGTCTCTGGAGTAATCCGCCCTGTGCTCTATGTAGGTATAGCTTCTGTGGGGCGAAAATAAGAGGCTGTTGGTGACACGCCGTGAACGACGGTGACACTGTTGTCCTCTTTCCCTGTATGATTGTTTCAGTGGCCATCCGCGAATCGTGGAGCATTTCAGCCACTTAGCCGTGCCTTTGAGGCGGGTTACGTAGTAGAAGCTTCAAATCCACTATGAACTTTGTTGTTGTTGCGTGGATCAATCTTGAGATGAACAATTTCTTCACTAAGTGAGAAGGTTGGAGGTCATCTCAATATTTGTAGCCGTCGTGCTGGTATCAGTACATTTGACGTAGTCCGTTGACGCCTATACTCGGTGGTGGTCGCAAACAGTGTGGGAGAATATGCGCATGGGCAACTGCATGTGTCGGTGACAGTATAAAAATTTCGAGGAAATTTTTGAGAAATTCTTTATAGTTTTGGTGCCTTTCTATACTGAGTCGTGTATAAACTGCTATAATTAGTAAGGAAACTCTTGTGAGCAAGCGAACATGTATTCCAACACTGCATGCGAATAAGGGTGATCCGTTTGGGACAATCGTCGCATTCATTCCCCGCTTCGTGTAGAACTTCTTGCATACTAGTGCACTCGCGAGACTACATACGCAGCTGTCGATGACTAGTGCACTGTTATAGCCATACTTCACATTTGAGAGTAATCCTAGATGCAGGCGGCAGCAGCTCCTGTCCAGTCAACGAGATCGTCGGCTCGGCTGAGGAAAAGAGGCCATACGGCGAGTTCTGGTGAGATTCACGAGATCCGTCCTAGTCTCAAATTGCATCAGGACCATCCCCAGAGTCACCCGTATCGTCAAGTTCAGTAGGAGCTGGTAAAGATACTGGGGAGGCCATGTACGACTCCTGTGTACGTCGGCCACGTTGCTGAGGTCCGCTGAGGTGGCCTGTTGTAGGTGGCTGAGGCAACACGAGTGTCTGAGAAGAGTAGCCCATCATCGACTCCAACAGCCAAGCGGTTGCGGATAAATGATTCTGATGTCACTGGGAAAGTTGCGTGAGGCGTGGTATGGGTGGTTGATATTCACCCAAGTATTTCGCAGGAAGAGTGCTCCTGGCCAAAGCCGTCGACGGGAGAGTACATCGACTGTGGCGACAACCCCGGGCGTGCTCCGTCTCGGCAGTTCTCGCCCTGATGATACTGTCATCGAGATGGAAGGGGTATCCGATGGTGAGAGGGTCCCTCAGGCTACCGGGTCCTTGTGTATCCCGCAGGGCCTATGATGCTTGATCGTCTGCGTGCTCCGGAAAAAGATGGTGGCGCTGGTCTGACCACAGGCGACATCCAAAAGCTCATTGACCAGGGCATAGGTAGCTACGAGCTGCTTGCATGCAGTGTGCATTGCGTTGGCACTTTAGGCACGGTTGAAGCACTTGCATTCGCACCGACTAGACACATAAGCAGTTTGAAGGGCGTGTCGGAACAGAAAGCTGAGAGATTGAAAAGGGCCGCCTTGAGTCTAGTAAGGGCCTTCTGCGAGATCTCGTTCATATATACGCCACGAGGGGTGAAAATAATATTATATTTTTTTGATTACCACATTTTTTTGATTTTACAATCGGCTATAAAATCATGCGTAGAAGGTATGTAGTGTCACCCTTTGGAACTATCAAAATCAAACACACTGTATTTCAAACTGTCCCGTTGTCGACCTGACACTGATCGTATTCCTCGGTCCCAGCAGACCCTTACTACAGATCCCAATGGGTTTCCAATCAGCCGGGCAGTACCTTGAGCAAAGGTCAAGTATGATAAGGATTAGTACTGGATGTGAGTTCACTGGGGGGGAGGGGAATATGCATATGGTCAACTACATGTGTTGCTGTCTCTGCACATTTCTATGCTCGAATTTGTATGTAAACTCCAATGACTAGGGAGTGAACTGCTGAGCTCAGCTGAGAAAAGCGAACATATATTCCTCCAACACTTGTGGCTGTTCATGAAGTTTCATCCGTTTTATGTGAAGTGGTGTAATACTCCGTGATAAACGCGACATTCGCGTGTTTTTCATATCACGGTCGTGGAACTACAGTGGCTCGCCGACTGTTCCTGACATCAGGTCCTAGCATAGATGCACTCCTGCGTGGTGGAGTAGAGACAGGATCAATAACAGAAGTTTTTGGGGAATCTCGGTCGGGTATTGTTACCATGGTCCAATCTAACATTTCAGCTACTGATTGGTTTCCAGGCAAATCCCAGTTTTGTCATGCACTGTGCGTTGCGGCTCAGCTACCTGTCAGTCAGGGTGGAGCGGCAGGACGATCTCTGTATGTTGGGCCACATGAACTGCTACTGAGCAGCTTATGTGTCTACGCAGATACATAGACACAGAAGGGACATTCCGGCCGGAACGTTTGGCTGATATGGGACACAAGTGGGGGCTGGTAGTAGCATACTGCTCACCATAGTCACGACACTTAGTAGGAGTAGTAGTAGTAGACTAGCTCGTGGAGTGGGTCAATTTACTTACCACCTACCGTACATAGTCTTTTACGGGCCATACCAAAAATGTTGTTATTGTTATTGTTGTTGTTGTTGTTGTTGTTGTTGTTGTTGTTGTTGTTGTTGTTGTTGTTATTGTTGTTGTTTTTGTTGTTGTTTTTGTTGTTGTTTTTGTTGTTGTTGTTGTTGTTGTTGTTGTTATTGTTGTTGTTTTTGTTGTTGTTTTTGTTGTTGTTGTTGTTGTTGTTGTTGTTGTTGTTGTTGTTGT